CAGTGTGTAAATTTCTGTATACACAATGTACAAGAAATTAGCTGCATTTTCTGTTTTCAAGCAATCGTTTCGTTCACAGCATATGCAAAACAATTCTTCGTCTGTAATAAGCTCATCGATATCGTTCATGTCTTCTGAATTGTAAGAAATATAGCAGTTTCAGCGTCGTAATCAAACTCGTGCGCGTAATCGATCGTCGCCATATTTGTTTATAGGAATTTGTCTCGAATTGTCAAGAAAATCACCGAGTGCTGCCGAAGGCGTCCGAAATATGCTAATGCATAGTACTCTTCTATCGCGCTAACAGGAAAATGTCCTCCTTGGTTCGTTCGGCAAATAAACTCTATGATCTATGTAAAAACAGCGGCGATCATCCTGGTATATTTGATCTAAGCTTGGCTGTGATTCAACATAGTGAAATATTACATCACCGCCTTGTGCTCGCTATAGGTCCCACGCAACGTATGCAACTCGTGTACAATACCATGCGTTTTGCTCAGCGGCTTCGGCGCTTACTAGATATGTCTACTGGTGCGTAATTCCGCGCGTATCGCCGTCCCAATCTTTGCGTCTTTAATGTCGTCGAGAATCAGCAATAATTGTTGCGTTGTTGTTCGTCGTGAACGTATATATAACGCGTGTGACACATATAATACGTTGTAATTTAAAATGCAGTGTTTATTTATTCAATTCAATAGAAAATATACATATATAATTCATCAAATATTGTTCATTTTCATATATATAATTATTAGTACTAAGACAAATGCAGATAACGCCATCAACATGCAAGACTGTTTGGGGTCTAGACAAATTTCGTTCTTGATTATAATTTCCCGCTTACAATGGTTTTGGTTGTTTTATATTGACCAGATCATACCTTAGTCATTTCTCATTCAATTCATTATTATTATCGCTGTTGCTTTTGTGGTTATTATTATTATCAACCATATCATTTTCTATGCTATCATTATGATTATGATCGCCACAGTCAGCATTCTCACGGGATTCGGAATTACTTGAGTGCCGCTCATGGTCGCAGTCATCATCCGTACTTGTCCCGTGCTTGACGATGCAAACGGTAGCAATGATGGCAAATATACCAATGCCAATAAAAGACAAGGCTATCGATATTTTGGTGTACTTGGCTGCCTTAAGTCCGTTATTTCCTCGACGATGGCCAATAGCCTGTAATAAAGTACATTGTTCATCACTGAAACAAAGTATATCTTACAAAAACCAACGTTATGCATCTATGCTATACTGTATGTTGAATGCGGACGTTGCCGAATTTATACCTTTACCAACAATATCCACCAATACGAAACATACTTACTAAGAAATATTGGTATGATTTTTGATCTTGTAAGCATAAGTTAAAATCTTCCTTTCACGTACACGAAGTAACATTGGCTTAAAAGAAGTAGTTCCATATATAGATCAAACTGATAATTGTTGTGTGTTGTGTTGTGTTGTGTTGCTCGTTCGCTCGCCATATATGTACATGCAAATTAATGTCGGTTTGTGTATTGTGTTGTTTATAGTTTAGTAATTTTCAAACTCACCAGACCTGACAGAACAACTGCAGGTAGTCCTAAAGGAAGAAACAGTATTAAAGCCACAATAGATAGCAGCAGGACGCTGATATCACCACAAGTAACACCGGGGGTAGCGCTAACTTTTTTAGACGTTTTTGTCAGATGTACGGTATTGGTCTCAATAATGGTGATGTTTTCTCCTGGAGGAACACTCTGAGAAATAAAAGTCGTTACTGTTGTTAGCTGAGGTCACGATGACAGAGACCAATTCTCTAGTAGACGAGTGCATTTTTTATTATAATAAACGATATTAATGACATTCTATGACAAAAGCAATATGTATGGAACATGAGCGAATTAATTCAAAAACCAATGACGTAATCAATAAAACAAAGTAGTGCGTGTTTTTACATTTCCATGTAAATAAACAACGTTCTGGCTAAAGTGAAAATGACCAAGGAAGTGGACAAGAACATATTTTTTGCATATATAACTTGTTTTCAGTTTAGCCACAATATGTTTGGAGTCATTGCAGGTGATTGGTGGAATTTGTATAAACTTGTAATTCACTTTCAAAATAATATTCGATCAAGCAAAAGAGAAAGAACTAATCCACCCTCATAATATATTTTTATAATTGAGGAGAAAAAATTTGATTTGTTTCACGGATTTTAGATATCGTAAAACTGGCTAGGCGATTAAAAATGGTGATTCAGTACTTCATATTATTGATATATATATTGTTAAAACCGATAGTAAAACTTGTTTCTTACTGTTGGATGGTCGATGTAATTCGGTAAGGCATAAGAAGGCCCTGTTTGAGGAACTTCCACAAACGTGCCAGGTACATTCTTTTCATTTACTGTCAGTTGCTCTTCTATGACAACTGATGGAGTTATGCGTATAAAACTCGTCGGTGTGCCTGGATAGGAAGGCGGTGGACCGCGTTCATCTACAATGAACACTGTTAAGATAATTATACGTTATTAAGTTAATATGACTTTGAACATAATTTTGTGAGCAAGCAACAACAACCACCCCACCCAAGATTAATAATACAACCGCATCTTGCATTTATACATATCCAAAGTCCGCAATGAATACATAAAGCACATTGTGTTGTCATAGGAAACTTGCTCGATTGCGAACAGTTCACCCAAGGAAACAAATTATTCAACTCCAATTCGGTTGTATGGCAAGTATTGTATGGCTTTAAAGGAGTTACATATGGCTGTCCGTCGTCAAATGGGACTCTATTAAATAGCTCTTGAATTACAATCCTAGTGAAAAAAAATCACTAGATCTATAACATCACATTAAAAGAGCGAATGATGTAAAATTCTTGAATTGTCATTGTCGGTGACTTGTTTAAGCCTGTAAAGGGGCGGGCGTGTAATGATAAATGTGCTGTACCAATATGTCGAATTTTTACGTAAGTGTGCGAACTTTGTATCCGTTCTCATTATGAAAGATTGCCACAAAATCAAATGAATTACGAGAAAATTGTCAATCTGTAGTGCCGTTTAAGACCGGAATGTAGATGAATCAGCGGAAATAACAACTATTCATCAACAACAAAACTAGTATTCCAGACATTTGTAGTGTAAATGGCCTACTAGTATGTGATTGACGTATTGCAGAAGGGGTCCAACTGAAACCGTGGTTCCGATCTTTCAACATCCGGGAACTAACGCCGGTTCGACATGATGATTCTCAACCGAGTACACCACTGCTAACTCCAACTTAGGAATATCAACCTGGATTCTTTTTAAAGACTCATTCAGATCTGTAGTATATAACTTTCACGTATCAGCTATAGACTTAGTTATCACTTTACTTTACAAAAGTCGTGCACAGAAAAGAATAATCTGGCGATGATCAATCGAATCGTCAGTGATTTATTGGTGTAATATTCTGAGGGACTGAAGCAGTTTTGCAAAAAATATAGTGAGATCCGTTCATTTGTTGATTTTGGAGTTGCGAATAGATCAAATCAATAGGTTATCACAAAACCAGCATGCGATGACAGGATGCAAATGATAAACAAACACATAAATCAATACTAATATAATACTATAATTTAGCTGTCCCATATAATACAGCTGTGTTGCATGTCAGCTACCAACTACCTTACTACTCAAAAAGTATTTGGTTATTTTTCACATTTTGAGAAAATATTGATTTCGTCTAGAATCTACTTTGCAGTGTTGTGACCGTTTTGCCAAATACTTCGCCGCTCTTGTTGTTCATAAGACGTAACTTAAAAGCGACTGATCCTACCGAAGAAATGCCATTGCAATTGTAGGATTCAGAGTGTTGTCTGTCCACTATGCTTTGCTATGAAAGATGTCAGGTTAAGAATATGACAGTTTATAGAAAGTCTGTATAATAAGTTGGATAATTTACTATATTGCAATAGCTCTTCCGGGAATAACATTTGAAAAATTCCTTGTGGAAATTGGAAAAAAGTGTCAAATGAAACCGCGCCTTGCAACGAAATTCCAGATACTGAACAGCTCACGAGTAACTTGTCGAAGTATATCATGTTATTACCGTAACGCCATATGTTACAGCGTGCCACAATTTTGCGGTATTTTACGGGGTATTTTCATCCTACCATATTAGGAAATGCAAAAACATAGAATGATTACGCGCGTAAGCGTCCTCTAATAATATACGCAAACATGGCTGCCACCAGAGTTAGACCGGACTCCAAAGAATCTCGCTGATTCTGTTCTAAACATTTTGGATTTCGGAATTTCCATTGCGTATCCTTGGAAAGAAAATATGCAAAGTAATAAGGCTATTATGAAAATGCCTCAAAATATTAACTTAGACAGTGCGCCGTGCGCCATACTCCAGCTGTACTGTCTTCGTGCAAACTTTGAGATATTCTCGTAATAACCTCATATTAATAAATAGACATGTTATGAAGCATAAATAAGTAACTGCAGCACATTGTGGTGTTATAATACATCTAAAATATCTACATATGTTGCACTAAATGAATCAAGTCACACTTTGGAATCTAGCCGTGTCGTGTAGTCAGCGCTCAGGCCAGCCAGTTTTAATTACCGATCATTTCACTACTCTAGTTTAAGTTCCGATAAAAATAAGCTTATAAAACAAACAATCGAATTATAACAGGCACCTACTATTATTGTCTGCTCCGCTGCCCGACATATCTGTGTCTCAAACAACGCTGTTTCGTTATATACGTTGTCGCAAGTATCACACTGCTTATAAACTTCTAAACCTTCTTTCTTAGCTAGGTGCGCAGATTAAACTATATACACAGCAACCAGTGTTTGTCCAACAATGACATGACACTGAGTTTGTACGGGATGGACCATTCACAATTTGGGGGCATATCTAAGGTACAGTAGTCAAACGTGCTGTTGCTGAAATGGGTCTAACAGCGTAGTAGTAGATAACAGTAATAAATAACAGTACTTTTTGTTTTAATATATGAAATATAACATCTAAAACTTTCTAATTGCTCCAGTTCACGGTCGCGAGTCACTAACCCTGAATAATTATCAATTGACGTCAACGACGCTTATCATAAATCATATCTAAACTCAGCTATCATCTGTATTGACTGAATGCTATGAACGAGCTTGTGTTTATTGGCCTACATACATGCCTGACCGATATACACAATATATATGTCGAAAAGGACAAACAATTATCCCTCTCCTCAATAATTCTAAACAAATTAACTGTAAATGTGGGAGATTAAACGTACACAGTAAACGCTGAACATGAACAAATGTAAGAATGTTTTTTGTAGACATTTTGCCGTGACGACAATCAATAAATACTCCATCGGGACAATGGATGTGTATGTTTACTATTCAACATTTGTGATATTTATATTTGCGATTCGTGTTAGTAATATAGCTAATGACAGATAGGCAGTTCGACCTAGAGTTATGCTATACATTTATAATTCCTCTTACCTGGGATCAATTTAATCCACTGCGCCACTATAAGTATTATCCGAATATCAGTATATATGCTTAAATAATCCAAATATTTTTTCCACGTGTAACATTAGGTTTGATTCACGTATTAAAGGCTTGGAAAGACGCAACACATCGAATAGAATGCAGTGCGTACAATATTTATCAATGACGTTACCGTAAGTACAAGTTCAAAGACCTCCTGCACTGACAGCAGTGTGTTGTCATATTATACTGTAGTACGTAGATATGCTGTTTGCATGTAAATAGTTATTGTATCACGTTATTTCGTACATATGTTCACACTAGTAACCGCGAAGTGCATACTAACATATACTTTAATGAGAACCGACCCATGAATGCCACATCGCATATGTGAATATATTTATATAATGCAATATTTGACCGAGTTTTTTCCTTATGTTAATTGTCATGTATTTTTTCAATTAATTGTATATACACCACTGCAAGTTTTGTTTCTATGCTGCATTGTGGTTTGGTACAAGTGGCCCAAGGTATTTCGTTATAGTGGTTTCAGTTGACATAATTTAAATCAAACAATATATCGTTTTATCTGCATTTTCCCCTCATGTTATTTGTAAATCACAGACTAGTTTGTATGAGTGTAGCTGACAAAGATACAATGAAGTTATAGAGTTATATTCCCTAATTATGTTAAAGACAAATCATTTGTTGTTGATGATGGGGTTGTGATAATGTCTGTCATAGCGCGATTTGACAACGCCGGTTGCTATGGACACGTTTGGATTTAAATGCTGTCCTGGCCCAGTAATTGTCCCTGTGCGAATGCATTGAGATATAACTATTTGAACAACTTTTCACCGGTATTATATGTAATTTTGACATATGAAATTCGGAGTCTGACCTCCCGAGATTGTTATGCCATTTCGACAATTCTGGCTATGTCATTAACATGAGTGTCTATGATTGGTTAAATGTTGCGGAGAATCCGACGTGTCATTACCATGTTATTAGCAAGTGCAATGTTAGAGGGCGCCATTTAGGTCTATGTCCTGTAAAGTTTATATCATATCATAATTGAACGGCTTGAAACTTCCACAGTTCTGCTAGTTTACGAGCTGAACCGATTGAGTTGTGAGTAATTATTGAAATGAACAAGTTTTATTCCGGAGAAGGTACTTAGTGCTAACAAGATGGAGTGCTAACAACGATGCCGAGTGATCTACGTGACAACGAGCACGACATTTAATCGTCACAGTTTATCAACAGTATCACGTGCATATCGTGTGTATATATCTCCAGAGTGTGACATGGTACATGCTAGATAAGAAAGAAAGCATATAACATAGTTATTTGTTGGTTGCATAAGGTTGACGTCACATATACTGTCAAATAAACTGTTTTCATTGTGCATGTTTTAGATTGTCTGAAGCTTGTGTCTTTTATTAACTGCAAACCCAAGTTTAAAATGTTTATATTGGTAAGCTCATGTGCATACTTTTAGAATTATTATACAGTCTAAAAAAGTTCGTTCAAATCCGTGCCACGAACAAGTCTCGTTGGAAAAGTATATTGCGGAATGAAAACATGTCCTATAGAGATTTGGTGCAAACACGGAGGGTGTATTCGGAGAACCAGCAAAAGGGGAGGGGATCAACAGCAACAAGGAAATGCATTGATATACTATATTTACACCTTCTCGAGGGTTGCACTGCTTTGGAATATCCAATGGCTTGCTGCAACGTGGAATGCGACTCTCACTACTAACAGTGAAAATCATTGTGTATTGTCCCCGTTTTTTTGCGCAAAGATCACTGAGAAATAATAAATATCCACCTCTGTCTTACCCGTCTAGATATGGGCCAGTGATTTCATGATATTCGCACAACATATTTCTGAATACAGTGACAAGTTGTATTACTTGGTATTTCTATAATGAAGACAATGACCTCGAAAAGTGTAATACTTAAATATTCTCAAACAATAACATACCAAGTAATAGGAATTAGTTTTATATATTTAGGTCAAAACATATGTTTTTATATCGAGTTATTGAAAGAGCTACTAATTCTACGTTGTTAGTTTGCCATATCACACATTTGAAAGAACCTCGCAAATAAAGATTTGCCTTGAAACAAACATTTCGAATACAATTAGCAGATTTTTAGTTATAATGATAAATAATCTCAAATCCAATAAAACAATACTATGTAAAATTATAATACATACAAATATAACAGAAATAGGTAATTGAAATTGAGCGGTAATGTTTATTTTGACTATGAAACAGAAAATCAGTTCTCGAGGGTTTGGCTTAAATACAACATTTGTTTACAACAACAACTTAGTGCATAACTTGCAGTTGATTCAATTCCGAATGCTAGAATTGCAATGAAACCAGTGGACTCTTGAAATAAGAAACAAACAAACAAACAGCAGAGGGCGCCATCACTCGTTTATTGATTAACTAAGATCAGGTGATATCCAGATTAACCATTTAAACCATACGTATTTGTCTTTTTTTAAATAGGAATAGGCATTACGCCACCTTTTGGGTGAGGGCAAAACCCGTAAGATATCATAGGAGTCATGAGACTCGAGATTGGACGAAATCCACAACGGGTGTGGAACGTAAATATGTATGTGTTTTGACCAACTGTTAATCATCAACATAATTCAACCAGTAACTACTTGGTACATTTGGTGCCAACCTCTCTCGATAAAAAACATGACCTATTCACACTGATATTAAGATAATAACCATAGCAACCTGGATGTATCCGCTGGAGTTAATGATTAACGCAGCCAAGCAGAAGATCCGTTGTATTTTGTGGTTGTTAGTGCAAATATGACGTGGGTTGGTTTTGGTTGCGATTGCTGCATAAGAATTCCAGTCTTAACATATACAAAAACATATCGCGTGACAAACAGTGACGTCATGAAATGAAGAACTTGTTAAGATGTTCATATCAGCTCGCCCAGTGCGTCGGACACTTTGAGACCTGACGTGAAACGATTGTCACGATCCAATACTGCAATCATTCAAACGCGTTGTTTGTGGTTTACCTGTGTTTTTATGATAATTATAATATATAAAAAGCCAGTAACAATTCTGATATATTTGATTGCCTATGACATGTGTAACAGCTGTCTTGTTTATTCACTACTATTTCAATGACAGATAGAATAAGATGTGCTTACTTGAAATAGGCATTCTTTTGTCGCTTAGATACTGCGACACGCCGTCTTTATGCGATATTGTGATTACATAGGCTGTAACATGTTTAGCACTTCGACACAGTATTGTTGTCTTCTTCGTGATTCGATGTTGATACACTACATTTACGTTGCACTGTCAGCCTATTGATGTCATTCATGGTGAAAAACCACAGAGTTTCGTTACTGTCTGGTGCCCGAAATAGGAATCACAAAGTATGAGTAGGGAGGACACTTCATGATAGGACCAGTGACGCTACACATTATTAAAGGTTCAAATTTGAACAGTAAAACAAAGGTGTTTACCATCGAATATATATCATACATAGTAAATAAATGAATGAATGGAAAAGACAATTCTCGAATCTGTATAAATATCTGCAGTGCATGTCATTCGATGTCAACAACCAAGTTAGCGCTCTACTTATTGCTGATTGGGTAGAATTGTAGGCATACGATCGCCCGCACTATTTTAAAAATAAAGTGTACGGCTTGAAGGACGGCTTACACTCGAATCAACTTTAATAAGCAAAAACCTATTGTGGGTTCGACACGCAGTTTTAGTAATATCTGCACGTTATATATAATAGAATCGTTATATATAATAGAATACATGTGAAAAAAACTGATTAAAAATTACTAACAACAGATTGTGCTCTATCGTAAATGTAATGTAAGCCATCCCCGAAACCATACTACTCAGTTACAAAATGTTGCGACTTGCTTTTTCACCATTAATTGATTCGGTATGAGAATCGACTTTATTTACTATCCAAGTTATATTTTTGAAAGTAGACTTGTAATTACTTTTAAAATTTGTGCTAGATATTTGGAATCCGCATAAGGATCCGAGTCCGTGAAATAATGACGAAAACAAAACGAATTGTAAATGTGAAAATCCAGATAACAAAATAACACGTACGGCGCCATTTTCAGGCAACGATTGACTTGATAGCATATTTCGTGTAATTCCGGAGTCGGTGTAAGCTCGATTATTCAAGTACAATCACAAGCTGGATAGATAACATCATTTTTAGCAGCATTGTTCGCATTTCTGTTGTCAGTAAACCTCTAAGTCCATGTGTTCGACACATTCAAGACGAGCAATATTATAAACATTACAATTAAAACAATTACATAATAGAACCTCTGTAATTATCTTATATATTCTTCAGTAAATAGTCGAATCGTCAATAGAAGTAACTACAACTTATATCACCGCATTGATCCGCAAAACAATGTTATATCCTACCTAATTATAATGCATATTTAAAAATGCATTACTGTGTGCTGTAACAATTGACATAAATGGTCCTAACTGGCACGTATACTACATGTAAATGTCATACAAGAGTTCCAAAAAAATACATAATCAATCAAGTCGAACTTGCTTATCCTTCAAATCTACCTCCCACACATCCCCGTTATTTTTAAATATAGAAGCTATGACTAGATCACTCAGTTGTTTATTTGTTAATCGGTTAACCCCGAAATTGATGAATAGTAAGGGGCACGTCATGATTTTGTAAGGTATAAATATTTAAAGACTTGTAATTCATGAAAGATTGATTCAAAGAAGAATGATTAGCAAAAATACGATGAGGATAAAACAAATGATTGCTGCTACTGAAGCGAGAGCTGCTGATACCTTGCAGTACTGGTCTGCAACTCTACCACTGCGGCCACGAGTAGATATAGCCTGCGTAGAAAACACATACATATGCATTTGTTACCAGAACTAATCGAAATCTGAAATAACACTACCCGTTTACAGAATAGATTTTGATGTTTACTCTGATACGTACCGTTTGCCAAATGAACGACTTATTTGCGATTGAAGAAGGCATTTTGTGGATTTCCTCGCCACAGGCGACTGACAATTGTGTTCAGTTGTATGTGCTGAATTCAAGCAACACAAAGAATCATTTTCATGTTACCATGGCTCGAAAAATACTTCTATTTGATCGATCACTTTTTTCAGTAAATGATTAAGTATACTTACAGCAATCGCGAAGGCTATTGCATATATGCCGAGCAAAAAGCAGAAGAAAAAGGACAATATGGCGTAAAATAGTGCACATATATCTCCAGAGTAAGAACCAGTCCCGGTGTCTTCCGTTTGAATAAGAGTGACTTGCTGCGTTACTGGGATATTTGGCAACTGAAACCAAATAAACGTTAGTTTTAAGAATGTACAACACGCTACGTTAATAGTAGTTGGGTAACATATCTTTCGTTGTAAGTATATACATACACATACGAATATTTACCTGAACATTTACACTCTGGTAGCTGTATGCAGGTGGTGCTTGTTCAGAATAGTACAGGCCTTGTGGGTACATGTCTGGTTGTGTCTGGTGGTGTACGTCAGTGCCCAGTGGTTGTTTAACACACTCGCCAGTGTGACTATTGTCGTAGACATGGTCTCCTGCATTTGTATAATGCTGATATAGTGGTGCCTGTCCTTTAGTGGTTTCACCATCGACGACATTTGATGGATGTACTGGATTGGGTGTACTGGTAGCCATGTTGATATTTTCTTTTGGTTTATTCGATAGTGAATATTTTCAATTTCTTAAAAAAAATGTATAGTACACATTTTTACAAGAAGCAAAGAATGGAAATAATAGTAGAAATACAGCTGTATATATACATTTTCAGTGAATACTAACTATCACTAACATAACCTGACACAAATGCTCTAGACGCAAATGGCCGCCGAAATCTCATTAAGAGCGAGAGAGTCACGAGATCGATTGACCTCTCAAATAGTGTCCCTTTCTCTTGCGTTATCGTGTCTATTAGTCCACTGAGATACGTAACCAGCAGGGTATTTTTAAAAAAAACGTCGAGTAGCTCTCTCGCACTTGGCGAGATTTTGGCGGCCGTCTGCTTCTAAGTTATATTCCATTTCATAATGTTAATTAACTGAACTTTGGAACAGTACATAACCCCAACTCAAGTGGTCATACTTTTTTGACATATCGAATGGCTCAATGTAAACTATGGAAAACCATTTATCGTTTCCGACTGCAGCCATGTTTATTTACACATGGGTGACACATGCGTGAACGAAAAACTATTATAGTTAAAATACCAGTTGCACCAGCAGTCAATTACATTTTGGAGCTAAATAAAACAATATGTCAGGGTTACAAATGTCTACATTTCGCATTACATCTGATATATATGTCATCCAAAATATACTGCGTATTACAAATCTCATGTGTCATGTGTTCGTGTCAGAGTAAAATATTTCTGTTACATGTTTACAATCGGAACAGACGGGTAGTATAAGTGATAATGCCGTGTAGAAAGTTCAGTCTGGGATGCTTAAATAGTCTGTTTTAGTGTGTGTGTTATATTGGGGGAGTTTCCTGAGCACACACTCACCTGTGGTATCACCCGTGTCACTCGTAATATAAAATAAGCAGCACTTCAATGCAGCTACTACTAATAACTAACTAAATGTACTATCATGTACAAAGGTTCCTCATTGTTTGTTGTCCTGCTAAGCGAAGTCACGACCTTGAAAACTTCCCTATGTAAATCACGTCACCGTGCTCGTCTAGGTAAATACGCAGCATTAAATTGTCAACACAATTGACGTCATTCATATTATCTCTTTCCCGTGACTTTTTCATAACTAGGTGATGTCATGTATATAATTGGTACTCGTATGTTCCTTTAACTTGGATGACTGATATTATAAGGTGTAATTCATCGTCATATCCCTTGTTCGCGCACACCCATGTAGGTATGTCCAGACAGCTTTCTGTCTATAATAAACAGTTTGATATTCTTTTTCTCAGGTACTCGCACTAGACTTGACTCACACGTGATTACCTGAGTGGCGTCAATGTGTTCAAGTTTATATGTCTCTACCCACTACATTATTGATTCTCTTTATACTGATTTACGGGTTTAGTATCGTAAATTAATGGTGAAACTTCTAGGACTAGTTTGGATGTTTCACCTGTCCATAATAATAATTATTTTTGTATATTTATATTATAAATAAAATAGATTGGCTGTTCAGAGAAGCATTCAACGCCCCTTTTGGTCATTATACTTCTTGTATAATGAATTACTAACGATTTATAAGTGTATATTCCACTGTAAGTAAATGAATATTAATTGAACAGTAGTAAGTAAATAAACATGCGATAATCATAATTTTAACTTTTATTTTATTTTAAACGTGACACTTATAATTGATACATTTCCCAAAAATCGTAGACTGACGAACCAGGATTCCAAATTCGTATCTCAAAACACATTAATCGTAAATTTCCTAGTAAAAAAAATTACATTGTGTAACAGAATTAAAAATTATATACCGGTATTAATTCTTCAAGTTTGAATGTAAATGTCACAGTCAACCAAACAATCATAGCTTATAGCAAGACGCATCATATTTGGTTTTAAAAGTTGCACAAATAATTGGAAAAGCTTATTTCATAAAGAGCTCATCACACTTATTACCTTAGTTCAGGGAGATACAAAGGTTTAAATTTACATAAATAATTGAGGAAGTACAGTCATGTTTTTTGAATGATATTAACAAAGTTCGTATGCACGTCTAATTGGGTGCACGCAACATTGACATGTATTATTAATCTTCTACAATGACAAATACCACTAATAGAATAGATCCAATGAAAATAGCTAAAGAAGACAAAATAAGAGAGTATTTCACATATTGATCTGCTCTGTTGTCATAGCCCTGTTTGCCACGGTAGGAAAGTGCCTGTGAAAAGAATAGTGTAATAAGTAAGTGTTGATCTCTATAGCTACCCTGAAAAAAATGAGGCGTCTTGATTACCGACTCCCAGTTTGTAAGTTTTCTTACTTAAAACTGGATACATGTTTGAAGATTTGTTCTTACCATTGCAGAGTAGACAATTGCTGCGATGCCAACTGGCCAGAAGAAGCACAGACAAGCGAAGATTGAAAATATTAAGGCCCCGATATCTCTACCTGAAGTGGGTTTAGTCGTTTGTTCACTCTCTCTGATCATAGTCATATTATGTGGGTATGCTGGCATGGTCTACAAAACATTAATAACAAAAAAAGTGTACACATTATATGTTAGTATTTCAGTTATATTTGCTGGTAATTATTTATTCCGAGGCAGATGTCATCTGGCCATATGTTTATATTGCGTCCGAAAGACTCAAACATCTTTATGCTTATGTATGTCTATCATGCTGCAGTTTATATAAATTGTGTGTCAAGAAATTCAACAAATCTTCCATATTCATCTAGATGTTTTACATTTGCCATCATTTGACGCTTACCGAGTCAGTATTGTCATAAGCCCCGGGAACATACATTGCGTACTGTTGCGTTGGGTCGATGTGAACAGCTACGGGTTGCTGTGGGTACGGCGAGTCATCGGGCAAAGGAGGCTTCTCCGGATTACTGTTTGTAAATTTCTGTATGTCATAGGTGTAATTGCCTGGATCGTAGGCAGGCGGTGGACCGGTTGGCTCGACTACTGGTGCTGCGCATGCTGCTGCTTCTGTTGGAACAACTGTTCCTGTTGATGGATCCATAGCTCCCGTAACTTGCTCATCAGGGGCTTCTATATAAGCTACCAAAAATTCAAAAAAGGCTTTATTCACTGAGAGTGAGAGAACCGCAACACTTGTTTTAACTTTTAAGTAGTGTCATATTCTCTACCGCCGTCACTTGCCCTGTTTCACTGATCTATGTAAGCATGGTATTATAATTAGGAAGCATCGAGTAATCGTGTCAAGCCTAACACATGGCATCATGTAGGTATTGATCAGTGATTCGCTGAAATGAATTCAATCTGTAAATCAACGGTTACCCATCCAGAAATAACTCGGTCGACGCGGACGATCTGATGGGTCATCAGACGGAAACCATGTCTCGTCGATCATGAAACTTTATTAATAATAAACCAACAAACTGTAACCTCAATAAAAGACTTCGAGATCAGATGGTATTGCATTTAGCTGTGCGTCATTATAGTTTATATTTCCAGTTAAAATAACTATTATGTATTGCAAAAGCATTGATAATGATGGTTGGCCTCAATGGTGCGACACGCCTAGCGATGATAAGGTTGTCTCATGGATTCAATGACGTCGACCTAACGCCGTGCCATTGTTGCACAACAGCATCCATACTTTGGCGACAAGTTGTATATGTGTGTATAAAAAGTATCATTACGTGAACTAGCTCTATTTAAATTAACTTACCTTCGTTCGTTGATGCCATTTTGGACTTAAATACGAATTCAACTTTACAGAGAATAAATAAGGTGTTGACTTGATGGTATCTGTACCTCAACTGAACCTCGACCCCATAATGTTAATAATTGATCTGCTAAAGCATAGGAAGAATGTATTTTATGAATTAGTCGGTAATAACAACAAGTTTGTGTACAATGTCTAGGTTTATGCTACTAGTTATGTTATTTATAATGAATTACCATATGTCATTCGCTTATAGGAAAAAAATGTCTATCGTTTTGTACGTAATGTTACAACATATTTACAGTTGGGATAATTATAATAAATTATCGAAATATTAAACTTATTTGTCAGACCTAAGGCTGAGGCCTATCAGGCTGTTAATTAATGTCCACTAATTCATCGGCATATTTCTGTTAAATATGGTTAAGGTGAGCTGTATGTTCAGGTTGTAAAAGTAAAAAAGAAACTAATTTTGAGTTTTATAAATTTAAGTCATACAATTTGAACAATCTGAATATACTAATAATTAATTATCGAAACATTGGATGGTGTCTCATGTACATTATAACCCAATTGTATGTTATGTAGAATGGCGCCCATATAGAATATGCCTAAACACATTTCCATACTGACGAGCTACAATGATTGGCGATAAACCCAATGGAACAACCATTTGAGGGCTTGGTCACTTTGATATGGCAAATGCAAATTCTTAAGAGCTCAAATTATGCAATGAGTGAATATTCGACCAAGGTGATTTTTATGCATGCCATGTAAAATGAATACTCTACCACAACTGGGCTTCAGTGAATTATGGCTTTTTAAGAAATACCAATCTCGGTAATATGCCAGTGACTTTAGTGGAATCAAATGTGCATTCGTTAACTGTGAGCAACACATCTGTGATGTAGCAGATATGTTGACTCGTTGGTGAATGACTATCAAGTTGTGTCAGTGCCGCCAGACTGGACAATGCCTCCCATTGGTGGTCTAATATGAGACTATATGAACCACACTTTGCTTGGTCGGTGTCAAGATGACATTGTTCAATTGAAGAACACACCTGAACACTTATAGTATGCGTGTGTGGAGCTTCAGTAATTTCCTGCAAATTCTTATGAACGATCACTCTTTGATGCATTCACTCATTGTATGACTACCACCCCTCCAGAACCTGAAACATCGGTGATAACCAAAATTGTCGGTTGTTATGACAGCCCATAGACAGTTGGGGTGGTTGATGATTTTCCACAAACAAAACGCATTGTAAAATATTCTGGCAATAGAATGTTCTATTTTGGAATGCTATTCCATTCAGATGTGTTCTCTGAATTGAACTGACTCAGAGGGCCGCAAAGAATACTTGTTTCCTTGGGGATGAGACGAGTAACCCTAGCAATAACATGAGCCGCTAGAGTTTTGTATATTGTTTGTCCTTGAAATGGTTGGATAGCACAAATACTGCTTGGCAGCATTCAGAATATGAAAATATTTGGCCTGCTGCCATATCCCCAAGTGCAGTATGACGATGACAGAGGGGACATTTCTAAATACAGTATAGAGAACCTAGTGCTCTTAAATTTTGCATCTCTAAGAAAATGTCCTGGTTGAGTGGTGGGTGGTTCTCATGCTGGCGCCACCAACCGTCCTTGGACTGATGAATATTGCCCCTCTCAATGCATCGCAGCCAAGAATACCAACACCAGATGGATGGTGGTCATGCCAAACAGGAAGACAACAAATGAACTAGATCGCAAGTAATTGGCAGCTGCTTTTGTGTAAGGAATGTGTGAATATGCAATCTGGAGATCAAGGATCACCAAATAATTTTACTATATTAGAACTACGTCAAAGTTTCCCGGGATAAATATTGTTAAATTGTCTTTGTGTATAAGCAAGTTTAATTTCACTATGTTAAGGATCACGCAAATCAGCTCTTAAATTGCCAAAGTACCAAGACGATAGGAGAGTATCGCCATAATGCTGAACAATCATATGATTGTTAGTGGTAAATATTTTTTATTTAGTATTACCATTGCCAGGCTCAATTAAGAGGACACAGAACCAGCCGGTGATCATTAAGGCAGGCTAGGTTGAAACACCAACATATGTTGATACCCATTGTGGACAGAGTGTATGTATTTGTCAGATACTGGACTTTCCAGCTGTAGTCGACACATTTGCAGTAAATGCGGGACATCGAAATTGAGACTGTGGGAAAATAACTTGCTTGAACAAGGCTACTTATAACTCGCTAGGTAATTGGACTATTACCAGTGAAGTCATTTGTTTGTTTACGCCACCATCATGGATTATAAATGTTGAGGCCAATAAAGACAGACAATCGATGCAGATGTTCCAGGGACTGAACTTACTCCAGAAATTGTCAGTTTTTTTCATGGAAAAAATGTCTTCAGTCTCTCCAGTCAGAATCTTTGCCTCCAATTCTGATAGAATCACTGGCAATTTACCAGGTTGACATAAACAGCGGATTGAAAGACTCAGTGTTTTAGTATGTACAATTGATTACTGAACGACAGCGTGAGACATAGCAGGGTTGGTTTTAGCCAATAGACCATTTTCCGTTCACTGCGAGAATCACGCGTTATGCGTGAAATCGAACGTAAAAACAGGACAAACAAAGGTCATAGCGTCGTAGTCGCGTCAAACATCGCGTGGGATTCGACAAACGCGAAAGTATTTCGGGGACATTTCCATGCTTAATAATGTGCTGTCCACATTTGATGATAGGCAATTTCGATTAAGTAAGGGTATTCGGAAGCAATATTCCTCTGTCGAAGATCGGCCGGTCAATGTAAGCTACGAAATAAAGAAATTCTAGTTCAAAATCAAATCGTTTGATTTTTCCGGCAGACGTTCGACGCGCGTCTTTCATGCATCTCGCGAGATCTCGCAATTGTACGGAAAGTCACCAATTGAATGCCTTGTACAATCCGCCTGTCGTGAGTGGTTAATGAACCCTTACTGGATTGGGTATTGCTGGCCTTCTAATAAATTGAAGTTGATGAAATCAGCCCTAGTTGTTTGAAGAATGTTGTCAGCCCTAGTTAGAGCAACACTATCAGCAGTAGATTTCAAATTCACTACATAGGTGAAGACACTTTCGAATAGCACATCGGAACTTAATTTGAAGTCTGAATTCGTTGACAATGCTAGCATTCGGTTGGTTGCAACCCACGGAAACAACAAGGAAAATGAAAAATGTTACCTTGTAACAAGTCATTGAAAATGACACAGTCCCCGTTAAATTTTGAAAAGTTCTCTTTGTGCTCGTCATATTAAAGCAGAGGGGTTGTCGCGAGCCTGTCCTTGAAACTTGAGTTCCAAGTGGCGTATACAACAGATTGTTTATTTACATCAAAACACGTGTTCCGTGTAGTAGTAATATGGCCAAAAATAAAAACAGCCGTTATTCGTCCATCTTTGATCTGATTATGAAACACACTGATATGTATGACGTATGTGCCAATACAAATGAAAATGGTACATAAATTGTGAAAATATAGTAGTAAGGCCAAAAAGTCAGATGGCTGACAATCGGCCATCCTTGACCAGATTTTGAAACAAATTGTCATGGACATGCATCCTAACATGCATAAAGTACATGTATGTGCCAAATTTGAATGAAAACTGACAGAGCATGCATAAAGAGATACCGCATAAAAAAACAAGATGCCTGGCAGTTGACCATCTTTGATCCAATTGCGAAATAAATCGTCATGAACATGTATCTTAACATGTATAATCTATGTACCAAGTTTGAATGACAACTAACAAAGCATGTCCAAAATACAACATTTTCAAAAAACAAGATGGCTGCTAGTCGGCCATTTTGAATCAAATCGCTAAACCACTGCATGTGCATATGTCCCACATAAGGTACTAGGAACATGCAAAGAATGAACGGAATCGGTCCACAGGATTCTGAAATATGACTCTAGACAGAGTGACGTACGGACGGACGGACACACGGACGGACGGACTGACTCAGGAACTCACGGACGGCCGGGGACATGTATCCTAACATGTATGATCTATGTACTAAATTTGAATGAAAACTGACAAATCATGTTCAAAATACAACATTTTCAAAAAACAAGATGGCTGCCAGTCGGCCATCTTTGATCCAATTGTGAAATAAATCGTCATGGATATGTATCCTAACATGTATAATCTATGTACCAAGTTTGAAAGAAAACTGCCAAAGCATGTCCAAAATACACTATTTTCAAAAAACAAGATGGCTTCCAGTCGGCCATTTTGAATCGAATCGCTAAACCACTGCATGTGCATATGTCCCACATAAAGTACTAGGCACATGCAAAGAATGAACGGAATCGGTCAAAGGGATTCTGAGATATGACCCCGGACGGACGCACGGACGCAGTACTTGATACAGCATCACAACATCATCACTCCCATGCGACCATGAATATTATTATGTAAAGTGAAACTGCAATCACCATACTAAATTGTAAAAGTCTCTGAGTGATGGGATACAAGACGGTCTGCAGTGGCAGAGGTAGTGTTAAAATGTCCAGACACATGCAGCAAGGTGTAGACATAATCAGCTTTGTTGGAACTTGTGTAGGACATGCCATGGCTGATGAGATGCTTGGAATTCAAATTTTTGATATGTATGGTTTGGCGTTGAAGTTCAACGTAAGGTGAATGAAAACATAGTACACCTTGAGATATTTGCGAACTTGATTCGCAGGTCATACAATAATCAGAGCCTTGGCAGCTTTTTCCACAATTCAAATACAAGCTTTCGAGATCATAATCCAATTAGAATTATCCAACAAATGTTCTATGACAGAAAGTTCTGAAAACGTAACGCCGATTTGGACGTGCCTGAGACACTAATATGGTGAATGTATTTTAAATCAAACCAAAACAGTAACTTAAGAGGTGTTAAACTGCATAAAATGACACTCCATTAATTTAAAGATTAATTGCTTCTGCGTCCATTAATTGCTTCTGTTTGAACATTAATTAATATCCTGAAGGGCCTCATCCTTAATGATATTGGACAGGTACTGTATGGCTGT